TTTTTTTTTTTTTTTTTTTTTTTTTGAGCAATTCGGTCTCAGAATAGGTCTGATTCCTGCTGGGATCTCCAGAAGAACAAGAACCTCCTGTAACACACACACACACACACACACACACACACACACACACACACACACTGTCTTTTGTTTTGAAAGTTTATAGAAAAATGTGTACTTTCTCCAGCAGGGTGTGGTGGCACCTGTGGGTAGTCCCAGCACTCAGGAAGTTGAGGTAGCAGAGAAACCCTGTTTCAATGAGTCTAAACAAATAAGAATTAAAAAATGCGGGACCCCGAGGAGCAACCGTTTTAATTCCAGCACCTGGGAGGCAGAGACAGGTGGATCTCTGAGAGTCGGAGGGTAGCCTGGTCTACATAGTGAGCAGGCTGGCCAGGCCGACATAGTGAGAATCCCCCCCCCCAAAAAAAAAAACAAACTATGGATACAATCCAGGCATGTCATTTGTGCTGCCTTAAAAAATGATATAGGAGTTGGTTGCCCTGTGCAGTTTCAGGAAAGAGATACGACTTCTCATCAGATGGACGTTTCGGTTTAGAATTCTACTTTTGAGGTCTTAGGTGACATTTTGTCTTCCTAAGACCCAAAACCCATATCCACTGACCTAGTTAGGGTCAGTGTTGCTATGGTAAAACACTATGACCAAAGCAACTTGGGAGAAGAGTTTATTTCAGCTTACACTCCCAGCTAACAATTCATCCCTGAGGGAAGTCCGGGCAGGAACTCAAACAAACAGGGCAGGGACCTGGAGGCAGGAGCTGATGCAGAGGCCATGGAGGAGTGCTGCTAACTGGCTTGTTCCTCTAAACTTACTCAGACTGCTTTCTTTTAGAACCTCGGACCACCAACCCAGGGATGGCACCGCCCACGATGGGCTGGAACCTTCCCCATTTATGATTAATTTAGAAAATGCCATATAGCCGGATCTTATGGAGGTATCCTATCAATTGAGGTTCTCGACTTTCAGATAACACTAGCCTGTGTCAAGCTGACCCAGAACTACCCAGCACGGCCACAGAGTGGGCACATTCCACTTGTGTTCTGCAGGGCGTGAAGTGCTGTGGTGGCTTACCTCAGTGATTGTGAGGTTCTGTGTCTCAGTGGACCTGGTGGGGCACACGGCAGAACGATGCTGTAACGGGGTCTCTCCTCCTTCCATCCTTCCTGTGCCTCTCTGTTTTCAGACTTGACCTTTCCCTGGAAAAAGTCATTACGTCCTGACTTCACTCAGAACTCTATACCTGCTGAGTGCTTGACCTTGGATGTTCAGCCCACCACCTTCTTCAGGGCTAATTCCTAACCCACTCTCATCCGGAGCATCAGTTTCTTGTGCAAAGTTCACCAACTCCCAGGCTGGGCTTTTCATTGTAAAAGTGCACGTCAGTTTGGAATTGTCAGATGATTTCTTTACCAATGTCTTGTTCTTTTGCCCAACGTAAACTTCAGGTGTGTAGAAGCTGTGCTGCTTTTAACCAACCTTGTTTTCCTGGGCGTAGCTCATGATTGGTCCATAATCAAGTACGTTTGTTAGATGAACTATTTAGCCAGTGAAAGCGGATGCTTCTGTGGAATCCCAGAATCCCAGAAGATGGAGCTATTAACTCCTCCCATGAGGTTGGAGGAATTCCCGGGGGGGGAGGGGAACGCGTCAGCCAGTTCTGCTGACCAAGAAGCTTCCAGGCCCACTGAGGCACATACAAAGGTGGCAGGTGAAGATGATGTTCAGGAAATGCTCATCTGGTCTGTGAGCTGCAGTCCCTGCACAGGAGGCTCAAGGAAGCAACATTTGAGGCTGGCCTCTGAAACGTGACTTTTATTACAAATCATGCAGGTGACGGGAACCACTAAAAGCTTCAGATACAAAAGCGAGGGACCAGGATTGCCAGAATTGCATTTGGGGGTACTAATGTTGGCAATGAGGGGGCTGTGGGTGAGGGGATGAGTCCCTGGAAACGTGGTGAGCCGCTAGAGATGGGCACACTGGCAATGGGAAATGATATAAAGGGCAGAGGTATCTCCTGAGGCAACGGTTCTGTATGGGAGGGAGAGGGCAGACGGAGGCAGAACAGAAAGTCTTCTTCAGTGAACTGAACTTTATCGCAAACTCAATTAAGAACCCTCTTCATATTGTGAAATAGAGTGTTTAGGCCAGATTCAATCCCAGAACAAGAATTGGAATGCCCATGGTTTATTTGGGAGGTAATCCCGGGAAGCTTTGGTTATAAATTAGGGAAGTGAGGCAGTAAAATGCTAGAAGCCAATACAGGATGCCTTTAAGAGCGAATTACCACCATGGGTGATGGGGTTAAGACCACGGGAGACCTTTGGGATATATTGTGGATGAAATATATCCCAGAGTTGTCGCATCCAAGAAGCAGGGAAATTGTTATTTACTCACTAAACTCTGTGAACGACTGGCCAAGAGCTGTTCCTGGAGGGGATTGCTCTATCCTGTCCTGGGTATCAAGGCAGAGGGACTCTCCCGGCTGAGAACTTCAGCTGCTTCCGTGGGAGGTTGTCGCCCTGCGCACGGAGTAGCATGGAGTAGAGGGACTTCAGTGTTAACAGCATTGCAATATACAGTGTCGTGTTGTCTGTCTACTCTTCTGGACGTTGCATAATACAATTTGATTCCGGGAATACCCTTGTGAAGTAAGAACGACCATTTCCACCTTGCAGAAAGGAAATGGAGTCACTAGTGACTCGGCATATCTACTACCTCAGTTCTTTTTGATAAAGTAGGAAACTGACTCCAGGTTCATGTTCCTAGCATCTTACCATGTGTGTCTGTTGAACTGGATCAAATCAGTTCTGCCCCTGATTCACATTACTCGGTGACATTTTTAAATATGCCTGCTCTTTTCTTGGACTTCTAATATCTCTGTTTCACCAAGGCCCTTTGTGTTGCTTCTGAAGCATTTCTCTTTGACTCAAGGGTAGTAAACCTATGCTGTAGTTCACACGCTGCGTATTTGGGAGATGGTGTTTGTCTTATACAGTGTGTAAAATAAAAGATAATTATTCCCTACAAGTGAGTCTTCTGGCTGTTTAAAAAAAAAAAAGACCTTAGACTGTAACTGGTAGACAGCTGATAGCGATAACAACCCAGAAGGGACACACCACACCTTGAGCTACTTGGAGAAGAATGCCGTCCTTTGAGTCCTATATAACAACGTAAGTAAGCATTTGTAACATGGTTCCTCTCCAGTAGAATGAGGCAAGAGCTGTGCTGGCAGATCTCCACGTAAACAATAAGTCAGCTTTTATTTGTCGTATATGGGTTATTCCAGACATTCTCTCAGTGCTTCCCTTGCGAAGCACCTTACCAAAAAGGGGAATGTCAAAAATTGTCATTGTACGGCGGCTGGTACAATGGGGTATGACCGCTCAGCTCTGAACTGTAAATGGCTCTGGGAAAAGAGCACACTGTGCATGTGTTCCTGAGGGAGTGTGTATGTGAGTGTGTGCATGCCTGTGTGAGTGCATGTGTGTGTATGTGGGCAGGGGAGATAGAAAGAAGGAGGGAGGGAAGGAACAGGGAAGGAGGGAGGGAAGGATGGGGGAGAGAATTTCAATCATTTAGAGAGGAACAAAGTGTCAGGTGAAGTCTAACAATCTAGTCCAGTTGCTGTATATTGATTTAGGTTGCAAGCAAATTCTTCTTAATTCAGAGGGTAAAAATATATAGGAAATAAAATGGAGACAATAGTAATGTTAGTTTATAAGTGATTGTCTAAATAATTTAATATGGCTCCGTAAGTTTGCAGAGGAATACACCACTTGTATGATGATCTGTGTGTCCAGATACACTTTTTAATCAGGTTTACTCCACTGCAGCATCTTTTATCCAGTTAGAATAATTTGCTATGCATAAATCACAATAGTTACTCTTCAGGATAAGTTTGTGCCTTAGGAACCAGTATCCCTATTTTACAGAGGAGAGATTTGTGGTTAATAGTACTCGCTGCTCTTTCAGGAGACTGGAGTTCAGTGCCCAGCACCCACCTCAGACAGAAGTCTTTCCAGCTACAGAGAATTCATGTCTTCTTCTGGCCTCTGTGGAGAGCTACCTGCACATGGCCATGTGTGCACATAGACACACATACACACATATAAATAAATAATAAATATGTCTTAAAGAAAACATGTTTTGGGGTGATTTTGGGGAAAATAGCATCAAGTCTCAGGAGTCAAACTTATTTAAGTGATGTACTTCAGCAAAGGAGCCTGGGAATTATCTTTATTCCCCA